TTTTACTAAAACTAATTTTGTTCTGATTTTCTATACGTACAAAAAGATAGTTACCTCTTGATAAAAGAAAACAAGATAAAGGTTTGTGTATTAACAGTTATCACGTCACTTATCAAATAAATACAATATTGTCTATATAAATATATAATAATATGGTCATGAATAGGTTAAAATTAATTAAATTATTGTAATGTCAGATCCATTCCTTTTCATTGCATCAAGTTGAGATACTATTAACGGCCAACCAACAGTTTCAAAGTATTTGAGGAGTCGTATTACTTTTGCAACCAGGGTTGCATAAAATTCCACAGTGAAAAGTCCTCTTTTTGAATAACAATTGGATGGGAGTTTATTGGACGCAGTCAACTCTATTATTGGTTACATTCAAGTATTTGTAAATTAGGCCGTTGTTTGCTTTCCTATTCTATATTATATACGCTAATACACTAGGTATATTAAAATAGAGAATAGGTTTTTTTGTTCGTTTAATGAAAAAAGATTAATCTTATTTCATTGAAATTTTTATCAATTAAATGTTATTATATTATCTCGCTTATTGAACGATGTAATCAGGAAGTAATATGGGCTGTATAATATTTACAAAAATAATCGAGATTCTCACAGCAATTGTATCTGTGCAAAGCCGGGGTAAATCACTAGTAAACTAGTACATATAATGAGACAGTACAAGGACATGACATTGTAAAAGAAGACGACATTTATTTGTTCAACCAATTCTAAAAATTCTTGCAGGTGCATACTTTCCAAGCAAATTGTCATAGAAACGGGAGTTAATGAGTTCCAACTAACATACGAGTAGCAGAGATATCGTTTCAGTAACTAAAGAAAAAAATAGAAGAACTTAGACGAAGTATCATGGTGATATGCCAAATACAAGGAGCAACAAACCGAATGACAAGATGTCGTTGACCTAAAGTTACTGTCTGAGATGGTCTCGTAGAATTTTATATATATTTCGTGACCAATCTAAAAATGTAAATAACGAAAATAGCCATTTATCTATTGTGAAATTCCACAATATTTATAATCATACTAGCAATTTACATGAAGACATTTGATATATTTGATACATAATACATTGCTATATTAAAATAATCTTTATTTATTCTTTCTGTGGGATGCACACAGGACTAGTTGAGTATCGTTTTGTCACCTATTTTTGCCGCCAAGTAGCTTGCTTTGTAAGACGAGTTTTCTTTGTTTGGTAGTCCTCCCTAAAAGTATGTAAACATATGGGCATTACATTTTTTTTCGCACTACTTTAATGCTATTGGCCGCTGCTGGCCTTTACAATTACAATTTCACCGGACAATAGGGAGGCAGATGGCACTCCAAACCCGTGGAAGGAGTTATGGAACGGCTGAAGACCAACTCCTGCGATACGACTTTAGCCTGAGGCTACCATTAGAGGTACCTCGGCTCAGGCCGTCATAAATTCGATCCCTGCTTGAATTGGACGGGGTATCCATCAGAGGAAGCATCACATAATAACGATATACGCGATACTGTTCAAGTATATAAGCGATGATTACCACTTACCATTAGGTGGGTCGTCTTTTTTGTCCCTTGTTTGCCATTAATGAAATATAAAAGGTGCTTTCGAAAGGTATACGCTTATTGTCTAATCTGTTATAATCTTAATCATAGCACATGTAGAATACTAAATGCTATTCATGTTTAAGTCTAAACTTTTTAAAGTAAATATAAACTCTGAATATTTAGAGTCAGACAAAATAAAATAAACAATGGTGTCTGTTAAAGTTTTCATTTATTCAGGTATCGACAGCGTCGAAAAATGTCGCGTTGATATTTCTAAAAACAGATTATATTTTAAAATAACTCAAGCGTTCAATGTACGACAGCAGATTTTCTCTGCAGATATATCGCCTGCTATTTTGTGATAGAAATGTCTATGAGTACTTTTTTTTTCAATTTATGAATGTGATATTCTGTACCTTCCTGCTGTAATGATTTTACGTTTAAAAACAAACAGTGATAAACATGAAGACAGGTCCGTTAGAGTATCATGGCGAATTTACTTATTATCAGACGGTCCATCAGGTTGCTTTTCATGTTACATTCCTAATACATCAAAAAACTAACAAAATTGGTTTCCAGGTGAGTGAGAGCACATACAAGTAGCCCTGACATAACAACAGCAATAAAGCCACTAGCCCTCATTATTATCATTAACAATCTCCTCCATCCCCCCACCCCTTTACTACAATATTTCTTCAAAACAATTATTAATTTCAAAACCTACATCTTTTGTAGTCCACTGAGAACTATTTCCTATTTTCAAGTTTTCGGAGAAAGATATTTTGTACTAATAATATTCTTGTGCAGTATAAGTATTTCCTTTGATATTAGAAATACGTTTCATTCTTAACTCTCAAAGGACAAAATTCTAATAACTTGGAAAATAAATTGAACATCGCTCTACATTATTGATGTAAATATCAGTTCAGTAGCGATATATGTATATGTGATCCCAAAAACGACAGTTATGAATTTTGAAATATATAACTGATCTTTGAACTGCAACAGTTCTTTTACATTGTAACTAATATTATAAATGCGAAAGTAACTCTGTCTGTCTTTGTCTCTGTCGCTTTCACGCCAAAACTACTGAACCGATTTAAATGAAATTTGGGGCACAGATAGTCTAGACCCTAGAAAAGTACATAGGCTACTTTTTAATGCAAATTAGGGTTATAAAGATCTGAAAGGGGGAATAAAAGTTTCTATATTGTAATTTTTAAAGCTAGGAGCTTGGTAAATAGTACATTCATAGTTTATATCAATTTTGTCTTTAAGGAGGTAAAACAAAATAGGGGATGAAATGGAAATTCGTCAATCGTTATCTATTCTACGCGGATAAAGTCGCGGACACAGCTAGTATATTATAAAGTAACTAATTTGGGTTCTTCCCTGCCTGCCTCCATTCAGTATATTTTTTTATTAATAATTCATTAGAAAAAAATTCTTTGTCAAAATCTATATATTTCTGTATAAAACGTTATCAAAATTAGTTCTGTAGGCGCAAAAAAATAACAGATAGACAGACAGAGACATATTTATAATATCAGTTTGAATATCAATTCCAAAAACTTTAATTATAATATAAAACTAAACTAAACTTTTCTTTGAAGTCGGTTAATATACAGTATTATTACAGAACAAAGAAAAATTACAAGTTATTTTATGTAATAGTCGCGTTTGAATTGCAATTATTGCAAGTAGTATATACCTACAAATAAAGTTACAGTCTTGTAAAAGAATCAAGATATGCTGCCCCAAGAGATTCCTTCAATAAGGATCGAATTTTGTCCTATGTCCTTCAGTAAACCGATCTCATTAGACCTTTTGTATAGTGGTCAAAACTCTCATTTATAAAAGAAAAAATATACTAATGAACGTTTATATTTCTAAGAGTGTATGTTCTTTCAGAGTAGATTCTGTATCATGAAGAAATAGATAAAATTTTTAAATAATTAAAATTATTTTGTACATATATCTTAAATTAAGTGGAAAACAAGCTGACGGCCCACCTGATGGTCGGTTTTAATCATCGCCTATAAACATGACCATACGAACATAAGGTAATTATGTTGACCATATTTGAAGTCACAACTTTTTACCCAAAAGCACGAATCATTAGGCCAAGAAGCTTTTTTTTACATCGTTTTCCTAATAATATTCAATCCGAAAAAATATTAATAATCAGTTTTCTAATATAACTTTATTTTAAAGAGGGATAAGATTGTTAACTTAACCCGAGCATGAAGCTCATCCTCTCATCTTACACTGTCCACCCTTCCATACTCATATATAAAAGAAATGTTTTATACCTTTCTTTATATCTATTATGTTATGTAGGTATTATTATGTACCTACTTTGTAGTAAGAAGACGCGACCACGTTCTATGTAACCATTAGTTCACATCCGTTACAAGCCACCCTTTGTTTATCGAAGTACTTGCTGTCATAGGATGATATCAAATAACCTATATAAACAAGGTCGATGTTACTAACAAGCGTATCTGCTCACCCTCACACATTAGCTGACGCTAAGAAAAAATCGAGTCATTGTTCGTACAGTTGTAATAATAATCACTTTTTGTACCTACTTAGCTACTTTGTTTCTTATAATTCTCTATTTATCTAAATTTATCTTTATAAATTAGAAAACTATGTATTTTCCAATTTCCATCAAGCTAATGTTCGACCTAATTATTGTTCATTTATATGCCTAAACAGCACAATAGCCATTTTTTTTTTGTTCTTATTGCAATGGCATACAAACTGATTAGGACGAAGATGTCACTATTATTTCACTTCCTTATCTCACATTTCAACACACTGTATAAATAAAGTAAATTGTTTAACAATTGAAAGTCTCACTTAAGTGAAACTTTACAGATAACTTTGTTGAAAGTATACCTCGATAGAACTCGATTCACGAGGTTATTGGATGGACTTTCCTGATATTCGTCTCATGTGACATCCTGCAGGATAACTTTTAGACGATGTTTCGTTCGACGGATGAAATATAGATGAAGGCTAAAGTATTGATCTCTCAAGTTGTATCAACTAGATAAGAGTAGCCGTGGTCACTAATTGACTGAATTACAGCAATGTCGTTAGGTGTCAGCAGTTTGTTAAACTAACATTTAGTTATTAGCTTTTTTTCGATACAAACATTTATGTATGAGTATAATTATTTGGATTTATCTGGTTATTGTCTATGTATTATATTGATCAAACCTGCGACCATCGGTAGTAATACGGAGTGTTAAACCGCTACACCACCGAAGCCATCGTATTAATCAATCAATAAAAAAATTAATAAATATTCTTTCTTTCTTACTTGATTTTTTTCTTATTATTTATCTATTTATGATATCCTGTATAAAATCTTCATTATTTTCAGATATTTAGTGAAACACACGCTAATAAAAACAAGATTTTTCAATAATTTATTTACGATAACTACATTTCTTCATGCACATAATACAAAGACCTGAGGGTTCTTGCGTGGTCGTGGCCATAGTGGTTGTGGTGGGCTTCGGTGTGGTCGTAGTTGGTTTCGGAACACACCACACATAGTGACCATGGTGGTACGGGTGTCTGTTTATATAATGGTCATCTTCTATATAAGGTTGATATGAATGATACGGTACATCGTCGTCTATATAAATCGTTGATGCTGCATCTGGAACAGATATAAGATTAAGATTTTTATATATTTTAGAAAGATAGGATAGGTCAGGTCACTTGAAGCAAAGATGGATTGTATCATTAGGACGGACTTAAGATTATTTTTATATCCAAAAACAGCATTAATATATCTTTTTTTTTTAATATTTCATAGTTTAACTGTCATTATTATGATTTTTAGTATTCTTATTCTTCTAAATCCTTTGGAAGGAATAAAATACAAAATGTCTTTGTGGTCACGATACTGATGACAGCAATCTGCCACGTTAGCACACCACACCAGTTTACGACTTTATATTATTTTTTTATGACATCTACAGTCGTCCAATTGTTTATGATTCTACATTAGTTGTTTTACTTAATACATTAAAGAAACTTAAATAAATTTAATTATTAGAATTGATAAACCACAACTAACACGTATAATCTAATTTGAATATAGAATACCAACTAAACACTACAGAACCTAATTTATGCCAATCAGAATACAGTCCAGGTGACAAAATTCTGTGCAGCAAAGGTACAGATACACTATAAGATCTATTTGATTTGAAATTTTATATATCAGTTAAAGTCTGTCTATGAAAGTGATTACTTCCTCATTATATGATTTACATGTCTAGCCCATATATCTGGCTGTAAGGTGGTAATACTTTTTATTAAACTATATTTGATATTGAAACAGTTTCAATAACATCTAAATTAATAAAATAAGTAAGAATAATTTGATTTCTAAACAAACGAATACCTTCAAAATCTAAGTAAAGTAAGGGGTGAGAGAAAGATCGCACGTTAAACTGGCAATTCAGTTCCTTAAAATTGGATTCCATTTATATAACTGTCACATTCTTCCTAACTGCTTTTATCATCAATTTCACTGTCAAATTTATATAAGGTTTCTATCTATCTATACATATCTGCATTTAAATTCTACATTAAGGCTATTTCTCTAATAAAATATATCCCTAGAGCAGTTTTATAGCAGCCAGTAGGCATACATATGCGTCTCCGGAGGTCACAGAAGTTCATGTGGTTTAAATATAACTTTGCCGCAGGTTAACTGCAGCGTATACTTATACTTCGATATAGATCTAATAAAACGTAACGACAAAATGTTATGAAGACATTATATACTCTGTGGTCTTACCCTCGTCATATCGCCTCGGGGAGCAGTACAATGGACATATCTTAAAACAGAACAACGCGCGCTCGTGTTTCTCTGAAAGATTAAAGATTATTTATGGTTTGAAATGCAATCACGGATATTAATTCTTTAAGTCTACTGGGCTAAATTGAAAATAGTTATTGTAAGAATATAGATTAATATTTAGTCTACTTTATAAAATTTACATGGAATAGCAAAGGTAGACTGTTAGGTATGTTACTAGAGGCTGTATTTATACTCAGGTTTGTTGTTAGTAAATTATAATAAAAATAAATTGCAAACATATAAATGTATAATCAATAGTATAAAATAATTAGGATTAGTAGCACAATAAACTAAGTTTGTATGCAGGCGAAGCCATTTTTGTAGTTTTTATTTTTCCGCGCAAACGTAATGCACCACACATGCACAATATTGCATGCCGCGCAGCCGCAGTTAGATGACGAGCACGTCATAGCTGTATGGCGATGTTAATACTAGTATGACATAGTATTAACATAGACTATATTTATCTAGGCTTCACATTTAATAATGTAACTCTATACTATTAATATTACTATACACATGAAAGAATATGTTCGAATAACAAACTAATCTATCTTGATTTTGAAACACACCTTCAAAGCTGTTTATGATATTTCCTCTACAATTAATGTTTAAAAGTAATAAATCAAAAAAAATCAAGTGAAGTTCGTTTCAAAAATATCAAATCGGATGAGAGTTGACTATAAAATCCACTCTATATGTCTCTATATATCGTATAATATTAGCTACATTAAAATAATAATTCTGATTAAAATTTGTTAATAATAATAAGCAAATCCATAAATGATGTATTATTTGAATATGTGGTATACAAAATGCATAACAATATAACATTATTAAAAATGTAAATAAAACAATAACAATTTACCTGCAAAGAAAAAGAAAGCTTCACTCACCACTATATAAGCCAGAAAATAAATTAAATATACACATTGCATAATTAGAATAGAGTTAACAAAGTGGGACCTGAGACCCCTTTCACTACCACTCAAAGACAGATTTTCTTGAAATGTTTCCACGATCTTTATATTATGGAAACTGGTTAGTTACGTGTCTTCATGGAGATAAGCGTCAATTACTCCAGGACATATTAATTTGTTGTCTCTTATCCTGTAATAACATTTAAATGCACGCTTTCACAGTCAAAGTTCTCATTTCCTAATACTTTGATGTTTTAATATAATCTGTAGTTTATAAATCTATATAGTTAACCGCCACTGTGGTCTAAAGGTTTAGTACACTGCTTTACTATCGATGTTCGCAGGTTCGTTTCCTCATACAGTACAAGCATTTGTTGGGTGTTTCTAATGTTCTTTGTACATGTATTTACGAAAAAAATATATATTATATTTAATATTTACATCAGTTATCCAGTATACATAACACAAAATTCGTTTAGCTTGGGTCTAGATAAACGCTGTGTAAATTGTCCAGGTATATTACGGGAGAGAAGGGGAAAAGCCGCATTCACTCTATTGCAATAGTCAATGTTATATATTTTTTTTTTATAATTGAGGTGTTCTAAAATTTCTGATTTCTCATTGCATTTACGAGTACAAGAACAGTACCTTGGACATCACATCAACATGTGGCGATTGTCATGCCCTTCATGCCCTCAATTTAACTAATTAGTCAATCATTTCGTGTGTAAGTTCGTATTTATATAAGATTTATTCATATTAATAAAGTTATTTTTAAATAATCCAGTGTACCTACCTATATATTTTTTTAGATTCGTTCCTTCATAAAAACACCAAACGTGTAACAAACCTATTTCAACCATTGAATTGCTGTGTTGCATGTTTTTAGCACAGATAATATAATATTACATATTTTTAGCTTCTATATTTACATTTCCATTCTCCTAAAACCTATTCCATTATAACGGGTTTGTAATATTAAAATTATCTATCTATTTTATATATATATAGTATTCACCGATATATTATTTTTTTGTTAAATAACTATTTATTAGTAAGTTGTATATCTAATACAGTAAGATAATATAAATGTATATTTCATTTCATGTTTTAATTAGTGAATAGGAAATAAAAATTATAAATTGAATTATTAAAAATTTTTTTAAAATAACTAAAATAGCGATTTTAAGACTTAACGGATATCCAATTTTATACAAAATTTTTTCTATAATTCCGCCGATCATTGACTTGATATTGGATTTGAAGAATTACCTGCCTACCTTCTGTTTCAATTAGGACCCACATCAATCACTCAAGTTTCGATATAGTTAAAAGGATTTATCGCAGACTATCTTTTCCTTATTTATATATACTTTCCCACATTAAAAATATATTGTATCGATTCAGTTTCTTGAGGGTTTAAGTTGATATTAAGATTCAAAACTGTATAAGAAAAAATTTATACAATTGCACGTATATATGTATGTATGTATCAGGTATTGATTTAAATTGTATTTATTATTTAAATTTAAAAATGAATCTGTGTTATCATAAACAATATTTGAAAAAAAATACGAGCTGATCTTTCTTGTCAGTTCTTCTCATCTCGAAAACATTCCGAACTGACAGAAATAATTTACACATCATAAGAGCCTGTAATTGGCCCTACATGATTAAGGTACTTTGAATTGATTTGATTTGATATCAAAATGTGTTAGTTCTACACGTGAAACAAAATTATAGTACTTAGATATACTGTGACAGCTATGTGAGCGTGTCTGTAAATATACACAGAACAAAGGATAACAGTCCCAGGGACGTATCCCTTGATCCCGCAATTCTCGCATTCTGATTGCTCAACGACATGAAACGAAGAAATAGAATTTCACAGATCCGACGCAACAGAAAAAAGTTTTTTTTTATAGGAGCACCGTAGCATGTCAGCTTTTTCTCTGTAGCTTTTTACGTGCCAAATATAACTTACATCGGGTAGAGGTGTTTATGTATACGGGTTCAATTCAGAAAACCGGACACCTACGTATTTCTTTAGAGTAGGTTCTTCGTACATTTATTGGTGCTTGGTAAGGTCATTCTCGCTATCATAAACTGGAACCTTGACTTGACATTATCCTTTTTCTACCCGATTGCGGAAGAAAGGAGGATTATGATGTTAATGGTATCTATATAAGTAAGATAGGGCGGATCTTTGGCGTAATGGGATATAAACATATCATTTATTTTTAATTATATTTATTAATTTATCAAAAATATGTAATATAAAGTAGGTAAACTTGAGATTTCTTTTAGTTTATATATATCTAACATAACTGTTATATAGATTACAAACATTGTATGTTTATCAGACACTTTAGTTTACAAAAATTTTATTAACAAAGAACAGTGACAGAAAGATCTATATTATAAGAATAACTTAGAACAATTCTTGCCTACACAGCGCCGTCTAGTTACAAATCAAACAAAATTAGAGGTACTAAGCAGCGGATAAAATATGTTTTTGTAAATATATACATAGAATATCCCTAGATCATTACTCATGAATACAAACTTATGTTTGTACGTGCAAGATTTAAACCCTCGACCATCATATATAAGGCATTATACTAAACCGTTAAACCAAAGAGGCCATCATCTGATAATAATTAATTTGTAAATAAATGTAAACATTACTTACCGCAAACTATCCTTAACTTGTTTCTGTTGAGTTGCGACATACCCAGTGCCGGATTAGTCTAGTAACAAATCCTACTAGCCCGTGAACTAAGGGGCCCCGTGCACTCCACTCCTATTTGAATATATGTTGACAAAAAAGTTTTTTAACCTTTAATCAACTTTATTGTTTTGTACAAAGCTAAACCCAGTAAATCATCAACACATATACAACAAAAAAGTATCTAGAATCTTGAATATTTTTTATTGGTTTTACTTGTACATTGTCTAAACAGACTAAAGAGTAAAGGATTGGTTGATTGCGTTATTTTTTAAACCGAATTCCTCTTAAAAGAAAAATCTTCGTGGGTCTCATAAAATAAGTTATGTTTTAAATACAAACTCAAAGGACCAAATTTTGAAACCAAACCGTTGGTTGGTTGGATGTGAAATGGTTCTGTTAAAAGAATTAACTGCAGGCCCCGTGCTGGCTTAATCCGACACTGGTTACACCCAGTGTCATTTAGGAAGTACACTGATCCTGATCATCCTAGGGTATTACTTTATATTGGACTGAGGATTTCAATTTATGACCTGCGGTGGGATTAGGTAGCTACATTCCATTTTTAACGATTATCGTTTAGAACAGGTTAAAACTATTGCTATTATAGATGCAGGTTGATATTATAATTTATCAATAATCGACAGTAATACGTGACTCAATCTGCTTTTTCGAGATGAAAAATATCTTAAGTTCGACCTAATGATACAATCCACCTTCGCTTCCAATATCTATAGGTCTAATCGACCTATCTTCTATATCTAAAATATACTATTTTTCAAATAATAGGTATTTCCTTTCCAATTTCCAGCAAGCTAGGTAAGGAAGATTTCCAATTTCCAGCAAGGTAGGTAAGGAATACCTTACCTACCTTGCTGGAAATTGGAAATTGGTTTCTAACAGAAATACACTTTTGAATTTGTAATATTAGTATCGATAAACATAGAAGGAACAGAACTTATCCTTATGCGAAATACTTGAAAATCACTTTTACATAGAAAGATGTTTCGAAAAGGAAGGAAACACTCCGCAAAGGGCTCTTTATCAAACATCTTTTGTAAGTCACAGTTATAAGAAAGTAGCAAAATTGTATATGAGGGATACGCCCACATAGGTACTTATATATGTATAAGATATAATTAAACTCAAACTTCAAATCATTTATTAATGTAAATATTCACCACGTGGTGTAGTGGTTTACTACCCCAAAGATTCTGAGTTCGAATCTGGCCGACACCGAAAACTTTATCTTTTTATATTTTGGACTGACTCTCCGATGATCGAAATAGCAATATAAAAAGTATTCGAGAAATGGCGATAGGTACGCCTCCTATATGTTAGACTAAAATGTAGTACTCAGATTTTTTTGACAATTAGAATAGCGCCATCGAGTCCCACGGTAAGCAGAGCTTGTGTTAGGAGTACTTAGATAACTTAACATTTACAAAAAAGTATCTAGATACTTAGATATATATAGATACTTTTTTTTGTAAATACATACATAATATGCATAGAAAACACCCAGACCGATACAATCATATTCATGACTATACGACCATCGGAATTACAGCGGTGTGCGAAACCGCTAGATCATCAAGGCCCGAATTGTATATCTAGTTGCGTTCACGACGGCCGGCGCGGCGTCGACATTTGACAGTGTCTCTATCTACCATATATGGAATAACAGTCGTGGTGTATTCATATTTGTTGTATCTGGATAATTAAAAATATTTTTTTTATTCTTAATTTGTATTTAATATACTTTATTTGTATACTTCATTTCTGTTAGTTCAATACTTTCCTGATATAGATCTCCGTATACCTAGTCTTTTATATACACAAATAAAATATTATTATACAGACATGTAGCTATTACTATATTGAAATCTCGAACGTACTGTCTGTCTAAAAATAAAAATATCAAACGAGTTTAACGTATAATAAGAAAGTAACAATAATCGAGTTCTAGCATATAATATTAAATGTATACACTCAGTACATTAGCGAAATAAATTCAATAGACTCGGTGAATGTACTCAGTAGATAATATTGTTCATACGTCATTGGGTTCAACATGCAGATTCAATAGGTTTATTGAATTTAAAATACCAAATACCTACATTGTTATTGTTTTTCGCTTAATATTTATCGGATAAACAGAATACACTCGTAATCGCTAAAATATCAAATAAAACTATATTTGTTTAGGTTGTTCCCCTGATTTTTTAAATTCCTTTTAGTTGTAATAATATACTTACATATCAACCAACGACTTAAAATAAGAATTGGTACTATTTTATAAATGCGAAAGTGTCATTACGCCTTAACGTTATTTAAAAAAAATAATTGTGGAAACAGTAATTATTATATTATACAAAATAGTTGGCTATAAATAGTTGACGAATATAATAATAATAATAATATTATATAAAATATGTGGTAATAATTTCATTCATTTTCTATACGATGACGGCCTCGGTGGACTTGTGGCTCAGCGTACTACATTACTCCTCGTCAATTTGATTCCCACGCTATGCAAATATGTATTCACGGGTATACTTGTTTGCAGTAGTCCATGTGTTTTATGTATGTATTTAGAATAAAATCTTATATAGTACCGGTAATACGAACTCTGATCTTTTATCTGTGGTGTCACTAAACTAGCGCTGTATGATTTGCCCTGTTTTGTCATTGTCATTACAATACTATAATAATTATATCTGTTTCCAATAGTCTGTATTTTTTTAAAATTCATTTGTCAAATTCGGGTCGGCAACGCGCACTTGACTCTGGGGTTTCAGCGTCCGTATACTACGGTAACCGTTTACCATCAGTTGCGCTATATGCTTCTTTACCACCTACGTAGTAAAAAAATGGTAATTCTAACGTAGAGTAATTCTCATATTACCACATACTCTTATAAATAATTACGGTTCGTCATGTAAAGTTAAGTGTTTTATTGTGTCCTCTTAACGTACTCTAGCAATAAATCTTTGTTTCAACACAATTCAAATGTAACCGAAACCAGAATAGTGTAAATATAATGAATAATGGAACAGAAAATCTGTGTCCTTGGTAGGTACTTTTATCCATACGTTTCATAAATATAAGAATATTACGTAAATTATATTATTATTGTCTATTTTTTAGACATTTCTCATTTTTCTTAATTTGGTATATGTAAAAGGTAGATATAAAAAACTTCAATATTATTAGCGTTGAGTTTTATTATCAAGAAAGAAAATTAATTTACGTTTCTTGGAGACAGAATAAATCTTATCGTTTTTTTTCATATGCCTCCTACTATTATTATATGTATGATGTACTACTATTATAATTGATAGAGAGATATACACCATATACCAAGATATAATAAATAAAAGGTAAATAGGAATTTACCTTAAATTTAAAATGATTGCACACATTTATTTATTTAGTTTTAATTATTATTCTTTATTACACCTGAAAACATATAACATATAAAATATGTACTTATATAGAGTTTGAAGGTGGTTTAGCGGTCTTATTGCTTAAGCAATCTTTTCCAGACAACCTTCAGGTAGAGAAGAAAAGATAGAAGGAAAGAATATTTTATATAATACCTTTCAAAATTTCTCTGTCAGAAACCAATGAATTCTGTATTATGCCCACGTCCTTTTATGTACCCGTAATTTGTCTCGATTTGTACATAATGATAGAAATACATGAGAATAGAAAAAAATATTCTCAGCCTCGCTTGAGGACATTAATAATCCAATTTATAAGTACACGAAAACAGGGATAAATCTGTCATTAGACTGAGAACCAAAGCCAAGTCATTAAAACGTCTTCTTAATTATGTTCAGATGTTACACAAAATTTACCCTGTTATTATGCTGACAGTAAAAATGCTCTCATAAAAGACTCCTTTGTTTCAGTGAAGAAAAAGGATCCTTGGTTGTATAGCCAGCTTTGGCTACTGAAGATTTTGTACTTAAATACGAATGAAATTGAACTCTATGTATTACACATAGGAGTTAAATGACCGGATAGCGTTTCTTGTTTAAGTAGGTATCTGCTAGGCTTCAATAGTCCGATTTTTCAGACGACCTGTTTTTTATGTATACACACTATTCTTTCACTGGAACATTAAGTAGTTAAAATGAGGCAATAGAATTTTATGTTCTGCTATCAGCTGGCAAAAATGGATCGTTTAATATTTGAAATACAGTTTTAGATAAATTGATTTTTAGTACATTATTTTTTTAATATATATAATAGTATATTTTGTAACTGATTTTGGTGGGAGAATAAGCTCTTATTCCCACGAAAATATTATTTGACAGGTTTTAACAGTATTTGTACCTTATATAGTAAATTATTAAGCTATGATACCAAATAGGTTCATGAAAGCAAGTCTTCAACAAATCACAGTGAACTCAATAATTCTCATTTTCCTAAACTCTCTAACATCTCACAACATTACATTACAATTTGACGGCCTCGGTGATTCAGCCATTTAACACACCGCTTTATTTCGATGATTGCGAGTTAGATTCTTCATACGATGCAAACAGTTATATCCAAGATTATGATTGTTTATATTAGTCTATATGTTATATATGTATTATTAAAAAATATATATTCTAGTATTTCATTTGTCTAGTACCCATAACACAAACTCTGCTAGAGGTTAAATGGTGCTGTAAGAATTTTCCGAGCCTATTAATTTTCAAAACAGTTTTTAATTTACATCACGAAACAAATTCTGAAATTATAATATACGAAATGCCACTCTATGTGAAAGCAATTCCTCGTCGAGTCACAGTTTCATTCGATGCTCACCGAGCCCCGACGTTGCGTTGATGAGATGCTCACTCATCTACGATAATCGTTTCGTTTCGGTAATTCTCGTTTTTCCAAACCCTCCAACGCCTAACAACATTATTATTTATACAGTTTCCGAACCGATTGAGCATATAATAAAAATTTCGATGCAGAAGTTAATAAAAACGTATAACTGTTAACTGACTTCTAAAATTCTCGTTGTATTTTATACATAATTTATTATAAATATATAAGTAAGTAAAGGTTTCTAATGGATATGTGATTGCTTATTTGTCTGATTAATGTTTTAAAAAAATGCTACATCGTAGAAATGAAATCTTTTGTACCAACAATAAATTAAACTTAAAAGAATTTATTCTTCAAATATCTATGTAATGACATTGTTGTGACATTATTATTAGTTCATGTTTCTCTATTGCTAAGCAAAGGTATCCCTCATTTTGAAAAGAAACTCCATTTTATATGTTTTATTTATAATTAAAATGTAATATAAGTATGTTAAACCCCTACATAAGATTTTCATTAGGTTAAGTTAGAATTTTTTAAACCTTTTCAAATTTATTTTATAGAACTTTTACTTTAATAGGATTTAATTGTCAAATGGGTTTTGATATATATTTTATAACACGGAGCTAGAATTAAAATCTCCAATCATACAGGCCAAAAAGATTTCTAAAAATTCTGTGATTGGAGCTTACATTGCGTCAACAAGACAGATAATTTGATAAATTTCACTAGACTGACAGGTAGAATAGAACAAAGGCCGATATTAAATGAATCGCTCATTTAACAGTACGCTACAATGGAGAAGATGACATATAAAATACATATATAAAACGAAACGTGCCTTTGTGCTGACACTGAAAAGTTAAATACAATGGTTTTATATTAATACTTAACCATCTATATACGTGAAACCAAAAACGGATTTTTTTTCAGATATGTATATAATAGGCCAGTGTAGTCTCCACAGTGACCTATTAATTTTAAGATATTGATTTGCCGAGATAAAGATTTGCCGCATTTTATAACCATGTCAGAGATACGGACATAGAACTAATACACTTAAATTTTGAAATCTTTGGAGCGATTTTTGTCGCAAAATGTACTCTATATTTTTTGACTAATTTTAAAAAATGTATTTACTCTCGTTTTTAGTTTTAAATATGCTATATGTAGACGATAAAATAAATATTCTCTATAAAACCTGTCACAGACTATTCTAAGTTATTCAACACAGACATCACCACATTGTGAAGGTTGTCTATATACCAGTATTTTTTTATAATTGATAATGATTTTCGAGGAGGCTGTTATAGTATTATCAGGGTACATACCCTGCCATGCCATGCAAAGGAATCAATAGGACCTTACTTGTAATCGTCATCCTTACCCTCCCTAGGGTAGAAGCAGTGTAAAGTGAGAATGTCACTGTCAGTGTGGTATCATAGTAACAGCTATGATCTTCAGGGACGATATCCGATCAGCACACTGAAAGTAAAAAGACGTAAGGAGATAGGTACGATTTGAAAGATCTTATGCAAATGGAAATTAAAGTGATTGGTTCCGTTACAAAACTGAGATGGGTTCATGAATATGCGTCGTTCAATTATCCAGCAGGCCGACCGTTTACTGACGAACCTGACTATTATTGCCCATTTCACCTTTATTGGAACAGCCCAACAGTTTAACCGTACTGTTTTATTTTATGTTTGGGGTTAGCTAATTAATGCTGTTGGCTATTTTGATTAATTAACTTATCTAATCAACATCTAATCAAGTTTCATTTATTGTTTAATTATTTATTCAAACATTAAAATAAGAATAACTATTGTACAAATTTCATTTGAATTGGTAGAAATGAAGTAGGTATATAAAGGAATTGAATTTATAATCTATACATATAAATAAAATTGGAGTGTCTATTTGTAATACTGAAATAACCGTTTTTTACTACATGCATATGAATATATATAGGGTACATACACCAAAATAACATTTTTTACAATTTTTGACTGTCTGTCTGTCTGTCTGTCTAGTCCGGCTAATCTATGAAATGGCTGGACCGATTTTAACGGAACTATTATTGGTAGGTAGCTGATGTAATAAGGAGTAACTTAGACTACATTTATTTTTGAAAAATAAAGTTAAATTCCACGCGGACGATGTCGCGTACCCGCGACATAGCTATATATAGTAAAGGACATCTTGTTGTAGTCATCTGGCTCTGCTATTTCTCTGTAAGGACACTTGCTTCGAAAATTGCGCTACTGATTAACAGTGACATTATAATGTATAACAACTTAGTCTACAATCCCCGTATGTTAGTCACCAGGAGTGCACTAGATATTTAGAACTGTCACCATTTAAGTTTTATCACAATCATACATACACACACTACTAATTAGTTATATTCTATAGGTTCCTTCTAAGACGTGACTATTCTTTTTACGAACCAAGTTATACATGTAATAAAAATGTAACTCATCCCAGAAAAAATATTATTGAACATTCTGATCATAACGGAAGCCAAAAACTGGCAAAATGTTTTTGACAAATGCTAACTAAAACAGTGAAATAAATATGAATGAGAATGAATGAGTGAACAAATGCTGAGCTTATTGGTCAGAATCTGGGTATTACATTGTAAGTTTAGCAATTTATACATGTAATAATACACACTGTTACGAATTTTCATCCAAGAAAAAATATTATCTGAACATTATGAACATAACAGTATTATAAGTGAATATAGCCAAAATCCGTACATAAATAATTGTCAAAACTTAATGTATTTTATATTGTAATATTTTGATACAGAGAGACGTTTAAATTTTATTACTAGTTTTCATTAACTTATGAGTAGCATTGGTTTTCACTAATTGTGGTATAGTTATTTCGAATACCACGGATACAAAGTCGGAGGCTTAGCTAGTACAACATACTCATTAATCAGAGTATACCCTTCCTTCTCTTTCACAATTATTTACATCTTCCAAAACAGGCTATATACTTCAAATTATTATTCTGTATTTAACAGTCTCTACGAGGTTAGAATACCATCAGTAATTGAAGAAATTCGATATAGTTCATTATCCAATTTACAAGGACCGCAGTTTAAATGATATTGACAAATAAAACCTTGAACCAGCGTACACACGACAGTTTAGAGGTTTTATTAGCTGAATCTATTATTCAACGAACTGCCAAAGGAAGAGAATCACAATGTGTAGTTGTGATTTTTGTACTTACGTAGACAATGTGATTGCTTCTAAAAATTTGTACTGATTTCGATGTTTTATTTGAAATTTCTATGATTTACTACTATAAATTAAGGCAAAAATTGAAGGCAGTAGATGTTGTAAAAGTAATTTGACGTATATTTTCATTCTAAAATTATTTATAACATAGGTCCTGTACCTATATATTTCAAGAAGCAATTATATACTCGTATTAATTTCTAAAGTCAAGGTACAGGATTGAGGTCGTTTTCCCATTTTAACATTGGTAAAACCATTAAAATACTACTATAAACTTCATAAATTGTTTCCATTTCCATTAAGTAATCATAAAAATTGGAATATAGTGGTAATACTTTGAAAGTTATTGAACGTTTTTCCCTCGACGATAGTATTAGGTACGGTTTCGGGTCCTCACAGCCTTTTAGGCTAGTTAAATATTCAACAGGCTTTAGTTTTGCGAATTGATTTTATATAAATATTTGCAGTTTGATTTGAATTTCAATAATAGATATTATTAAAATTGAATATAAATAACATAACACGGGTGGCTACGTCGTTTTTATTTATATCATTATTTCTTTATTTTAATCTAAATTCTATTGAAGCAATCGATAGCAAGAAATAACGGAATTTACACTGTTTTCAAATTTATTCAATTTGATACTCTTTACTATTGTATAACTTATATCTTTTTAATACTATATACGCGAAAGTTTATGAGTATGTATGGATCTTTGTTATTCTTTCACGCAAAAACTTCTCAACAGATTTTGATGAAACTTTACAGTAATAAAGCTCATACATCAGAATAACATATAGGCTATAAATATCATGCGAGTGAAGTGAGTGGGCACAGATAGTACTACACAAACAGGATATTAATAGCGATAATATTATTTGCACCATCGAGAACAAATAAGAAAGTTAATATAATACCATAATAAAATGCTTTTATATAAAGTGTACAATCATCGGTAGCTGCCAAGTTAATATAAAGTTTTTATACGTTTTTATCAAAGAAACTAAAGGTTTTATTAAGTAAACGCATAATTTTTTGTTACAAAAGTCATCGCTAAATAACTGTATGTGAAACTCATATTAAGGTCACAGCATCTCAAAAACGTACAGAGTACAGATCTTGCCAAACGTACTTCAGTCTATTGTTACTCGAATCCTAGGGTGGAGAACACATTAGGCAAATTACAGGATAAGTAAAAGGCATGACATCTTAGTCCTCTGCAATGGCCATATCTGAATACCAGGTACATGATTACGTGATGTTCGTAGTGTGTTCATGTACAGTTACAATTTATTATTGACGGTGGTTAAGCGATTAGCACACCGCTTTACTTCCAATGGTTTGGGTTCGATTCCTCGCATGATGCAAACATTAGTATTAATGATTATATGAATAATTCATATAATATTAATATACATATATCTTAAAAAAATCGCTTATCGCGTATGTATACATAATTTTTTTGACACGCATTCAATGTATCAACATTATCTATTTTCTATAAACATAAAAGAGACCGGCCAACTCGGAATGTCACACATTCTAATTAAAAAATTAATACAATATAGCTTAACAACATATCAAAATTAAAAAATGAAAAGGGAAAATAAATATGGATTTGTAACTTTTTTTATTTTTTTTTTATTAGTGATACGTTCTGCTCGCAATTAAGATAGAGCCCTTTTTAAATATTTGAAAGAAAAAGTTATAATAATTTTAGTACGTGTATTGCAAAATACATATGTATCTAAGGTCACAAATATAATAATGAAAAATTTAAACAGTGCTATCTAGTCCCAATCTATGAAGACATAGTCAATGTCTTTATAGTATGGGACTAGATGGCGCTGTTTGGACTGCTAAACAATAGATTATTTTTTTGTAACTACATACATAATACAAATAGGAAATATGCATACCAATGTAAATAATAATAACAATAGAATAATCATACTCGAATTTATATCGTGCAAGAATCAAATCCGCGAACATCGGAATTAAGATGAGCTAAACCGCTAGACTATAGACGGTGCAGGAAGAGTAAAATACGTGTATCTAACAAAAAAGTATATATCTGGCATACACTACATATTTAAACTACATGAAAATTAATTTTTGTTTAAAGCGATAGGTGGCGCTGAAATTTTAAAATCAGTTCAACATTCAATACAAACTCTACGTAAAATAATTGGTACCAAAATAAATCACACTCATATCCAAGGAAGAAAGCAAGGAATATTAGTTTAATATTCAATTTATGTTTATTCCTATTATAATAACACGAACACTGTCATTTACCATTTTCTTACACAACGACATTGTCTAGACTAGGGAATTAGTAAGCACATTTATTCTAGATGCTCTATCATAGAGCACTTAACTACTACTTAGTATCTGTTTTAGTTTACAGTTTAATCACGAGATGGCGCTATTCCAAACTTTTTTTTAATCGTTAAGTTCAATGCTTTTTAATCTGTGAGTCAGGTGAAGCCTTATTCGAAATGACTGATAAAAATATGCACAAATGTTTGTAGCTACTTTTGAACGTTTTCTATAGATTTTTTTTTTAATATCTTAGCACCAATAATTTTATGAAAAATAAATTATATATTTAGTCACTTTGCATTAGCCATGGTCATAAGCTTACTATAAAATTATCGTCTTAAGACACCTAATATTAAAAAAAAGTATATCTTGATATTATTGTATACAGTACAGCTACAATAAAATAATGCAATATGATTGAAGGTTGAACTAATAGAATTTTTGCCACATTGTACCACATTTGTAGAATTTTTTACCTATAAGTAGGTTCATCCACCTACTTACTGGTAAAAAATTCTACAAATGTGATACAATGTGCTTTTGAGATTCTAAAATTTAAATGCATCTTTTTTGATTAAATCTATCAATCATTAATATTTTATTCATCTCTGCCTATAAATGTGTATAGTAGTAATAAACGGGTAGTGTTTTCGATTGGATGCATCGAAAACACTACCCGTTTATTACTGAAAGAGTGAATATCACAGGCGTATTTCATCAGTGTGGCAAAGACTAAATTGATCTCATTAGAAATTGCTTCCGATTGGATGCAACTGAATCGAATAGGGATCAAATCGAAATCGCGCCAAATAGATTACATGGATTTGATGTAA